TTTTTTTTTTTTTTTTTGTTGCGAGGAGGAAGTACAATCAATCTCAATTATATCGAGCCTTCTTCTCAATTACATCGAACCTCATCCACCCCGGAGTAAGGAATATTCTAAGAAAGATTCGATCCAGGCCTCAAACTCCTATGGCTATTAGTCCTTAGATGTTATTTTTTAAGTCATTCAAATACTATGATGATTTTTTTTAATCAACCATTAATTTATATTATATGCAAATATACTCGTAATATTTCTATACAAAATAAAAAATATAAATTATGCCCAAATAGCTACGCAACATGCAACGCTATTTACTCTACGCGATATAAAGACCAAAACGCGATGCATTACGCTATACGCATTTGAAAACATTGGTTATTATATAATAAAAATACCACATATATAATTTTTAAAATTTTAAAATTAATTATCCGGTTCAGCAATTGATCCGGCTGAACCGGCAACCCGGAGGCCTGCCCTGATATAAAAACATTGGGACTGACGGTTAAAAGTTGGCCTAATTCTTTCCAATGTATCTGGCAACCTTTACCTTCATAGGATTAGTTCTCACTCACAGTTATTTTATAATTAACTAGTAAAGTGCACGTGCGATGCACGTGGTGTCGAATGATTTTTGCGGAGTAAGTTTGTAAACTAAATTAATTTATTTATTAAACATATCATTGCATAAATGATGTTCTCATATAAAAATATTAAAATAACGTTTTACAAATCCCAATAAAAATATATATAAAAAAACAAATTCCTAATAAAAAAACACAAAGATTTTCTTTCATTTTAGTTTTAACGTTCTCATAAGAACATTCATAGTCGTTGGAGTCCAATACATCAATACTATTACAAAATTCCTCTTAATTAATTTAGCAAAACGCCTTTTATTCAAACACTTAAGAAATATTCCGACCCAACATATAGTCAAACTTCATGATTGTATGATCTTTATAACAAGGTACTTCTACTAACAAAGGATAAATATCTCTATGAACTAACTAACGGTGTCACTAAAATTGCTGATATTTTTTATCACTGTATAAACTACTACATTCGTCTATCTCTAGATGATATATTGGTGTCTACCCCATTGATGCATCGCCCCACGAGGTGAGAATGAATTTTATCTCCAAATAAAAGTTGACTTTCTAAAATCTTGGTTACATGTACTTCTCCCGAGGTGCTAAATTTTTTTTAAAATCATTATACATTACCTGAAAGTACCTTTAAAGTAACTGCACATATGTTCAAACACAATACACCAATGAGATTTTAAATATTTCTATAAAAAGTGACAACTTAATTATAACATTCAAAACTGTTTTGATACTCCTAATTTCATTTTCAGTGTTATTTATCTAGAATATAGACGAACAATATAATCTATTTTTTGCAATGATAAAACAAAACAATGAGAAAATATTGAGAAGCATATCATTTGTTAAAATATTTGACAACAGAATAATTAGAATTCCATCATATGACGATACTTTTAGTCATTTGTAAAGTTTATTATTATGGAGTCATGATTAAAATATACATCATGTAAGATTTTTTAATTATTTAAAATTAAAAATAAATAATATATGATCATTATTTATGAGAACTAATTTCTTACAAAGTCCATATATTTAAACGCTAGCAACAAAAAGTAGTAATTTTAAAAGACTTTTTGTTTGTAAATATTGGTATTCATACTTTTCTAAGAAAATTAGCATGTTTTCTTTTTCTCATTGCATTACTATTATATTATTTGTTTCTTATTCTATAGTCAAATAATATTT